AGGCCGGCGAAACATTTTCTCTGATAATAGAGGCCCACCCTCTGAACAAAAAGAAGCCAAATGGCTTTGCGTCTGCACATAATGTTTTTTTTCCCTCCTGCTAAGTATATTAGAACCTTTGCACCTTTAGCTCCAAAGAAAAATAACTCATTTAATGCACTCAATTTAGGAGAGTTAGTCAGAGAGTCTGATAAAGCGTTCCCAAAAGACTCCACAGAAATAAGCTCGTAAATTTGCTCCATGCCTTTTTTTTATTTATTTATTTTCCCGCCGGCCTAAAAGAGAAGATGTTGTCTGCACGCCGTTGACCCGGATAAAGCTGAAAGTTAATATTTTCACTATGAGGCCTTGCCATGGGCTTACTTAAAGGAGTCTCATGGGCCAGCAGAGGGCTTATATAATCCAGGGAAATGTAACTTTGATGTAAGTGGGCAGGATAAAAGTTTGTGGTCAGATAGCGCTGAGAGGAAGAGTCCACGTGTGTGTGTGTGTGTGTGTGTGTGTGTGTGTGTGTGTGTCTCCTGAAGTGACATATGTATCCCTCTAATCCGGAGCTGCACACGTGTGATGTAATGTGGCTGTAATGAGGGTGCGCCGCTCTGTAAGGAAGCAGGGATAATTATAAATCAGGTGCTGAAATATTGACGAGGTTGGGGACTTTCGCGAAGGATTATGTCCCAGAGTCTCTGTCATGGAGGCTCCCGTTCCAGATGATCAGGCTTTCTTTCTGCTCCCCGCGGGGGAAACTCTCTGTCAGGACGCTTTTGTTTGGCCGTGACTGTCCTTGCGTTTGAAACAGACGGAGGCTTTTTTTTATCAAATTAACTTTCCGCTTTTACCAAGAGGTCAAACGCAGAGCAAGATGTTGTAGCTGCGTGATGTAGTCCTTCAAATTAAAGTCAACACTCTCGAGAAACCGCAGGAAGAACACGTCGTTCAGGGACGTGCAATTAAAGAGAGGATTATTCCTTTTTATGTTTGTCTGCTTGAACATTTTGGACACTCAGTTTTTACCTCTAAACGTGAGTTTTAGTTTCTTATATGTGCTGTAAACTCTTTCTCTCTTAGGTGTGTTTACATGTACCTGGTTATTTTCAAAAACTGAGACATTAACCTTCGTTTGCACCTTTCATTTAGACGCAAAAAAAGAATTCGCCCCCTGAAAACGATGCTTTTTAAAACTTTGGTAGTAGCTGATGGCAGATTGTGTGCCGTAAACTTGGTTAAATGCGCCGTTGTTAACTATCTACAGTCTATCTACTGTTTTTTGCATTTGCATCTTTTCCAAAAGAAGGATTCTGATTGGCTAACATGGGCTTGAGCTTCTGGTTACACTGCCACCTACAGGTCTGGCGTGCTCTTGGTGGCATTTATACACGGTTAGTGTAAACGAAAACTTCCCTCAAAACGAAGTGGTGTGTGATAAATCTGTCATAACCAGTCACTTTTGGCACCAACACTAAGGTGATCAGACGTCTCGATCAGGTCAGCACTTTTGGACAACCATCCTCGGACGATTCAACATGCTTGCAACCTCGATTTGAGTCAATCCAAGTTGCTGTGCACGCTGCTGCTGCTTTAAAATGATCTCTAAAGCACCTTAACTATCTGTGCATGTGTCAATCCCATCATGCAGCTGTTGCTGAAGCCCAACGTCAGGTCGGCTTTGCCAAAAGGACGTCAGCTTTCCCAAACGGTTTTAGGATGTCACTCTCCTGGTGTTGCTAAATGCTGACTCATGCTAAGATTTGGTGGAGTCACTCAAATCAATCAAAGCAGTAGTGCCAAACTTTACATAAAACATAAAAAGTTATGAATGAAAAAAAGGAATAATCTCTTGGTTCACCGAGTCCACTCTTCACTTACATTTTCATCTCTTATTTGATCTCCACCTGCTCCTGAGGGAAACACGCAGCTCTCCAGATGCTAAAAGCTCCTCTTTGTCAAACAGCTGGCAGCTAAATTTGCCCGTTTGCTGTTTTTGGATCCGGGCCGATAGTGTGCGGTGGGTTTATTAGAAACATCCCGCTGACAACAACAACTGCTTACCGCTGCAGATTAAAAATAGGTTAATGAGCGAGCTGAGACTGACCCAAAATAGTAAAAGGGGGTTGTGATAAAAAAAATAAAAAACTACAAGCTGAGGAATGTTAAATATCTCAGCGGATTAGAGGAGAACTGCTGGAGTGAGTGAAAACTGAGGTAGCCTCCTCGAGTCCAAACAGGAGGGTTAAGACTCATTTATGCTCGCCATATGTATGAAAATGTACGCGTCCGTTTTAAATGACGGTTTCGTCACTGCCCACATACATCCATGCATCTTTTACGTTGGCATGGATGTTAACCATTACATCCACCAGGAGGCAGGCCGGAGTCAAAAGTTTCTGACAACAACAAACAAAAAGTAACATGGCGACTGTGGAGGAGCTGGTGAGAATGGATACTTTGCATAGGAGACAGAAACGGAGGCAGCGTTGGAGGAGGCGGTGGTCGGTCAGGCCGAATTTGACGATGATCGTCATTTTCAGTACTTCAGGATGTCAGCCAGGTAGTGACAGCAGCAACACCGCCCCCACGGTTTCCAGTGGTACTGCAACACGAAGCACAGACGAAGAGCTCCGTGCATATCTGAATCTGTATGTAACATTGAGCATAAATGAATCCTTACGGGCAATTTCCACTGCATCTGGAACGACTGCGAAAAGGTCATATCCGCCAGTCGTAGCTGATCGTAACCATTCAAGTTAACATGTCAATTTCAACCGGCTTCTTTCCGTTCCACTGCGGATCGCAAGACTTCTATTTTTTCTGGATGCCGGAGCATGCTGGATGACTTCAGCACAGATTAACCCTCGCTGGAAAGGAAGTCTGGCACAGACACAAAATAAAACATCCACGATTGCACGTGAATCTGCGGGTTCTCGTGAGTTCTTGCGATTGGCGCTGTCTTAATCTTTCAGGAAATTCGTCTCACAAATGTACCCAGTAGGAATTGGCGTACGGTGAAAATTGCTGCTGTTCTGGTTTGGAGCCTTTTCGGATGCGGTGGAAATCCCGGGATAGAGGTGTTGGAGTGATGGCGTCACTCAAGGACCAATCAGAAGTGGATTTACACGGTAAAAGAGGAGGAATAGAGGATGTTTTGGGGCACTGAACCTAACTTTAGGTCAGGTTGTGTTGTTTCATCCGTGCTAAAACTAAAAGATTCGAGTCCCGTCTCATCAAAATTTCGAAATCCGCCTTGACAAAACAGATGCAACAGCGGTGGTGAAATCATCTGCAGACAGAAATCAAAACTGGAGATTTGGGTTCATATTTCAAGAACAAACCGGCTTTGAACAAACACATTTTCAGCCTGCTTGGGTTTCATGATGGATTCAAAATACCTCGGCTCAGAAATCAGTTTCGACATTCTGCAAATTTTCGGGGGTAGTGTGTGTGGGGGGCGATCGTCCCCTGAATTTGTATGAGCGCAGCACGCTTAGCAATACTCGGTGAACTGTGAGCAGAAAATGTGATCGGTTTCACCCCTGTGGGTTTTTCAGGAGCGCTGGAAATAAAATGTGATGCGAGGAGATTCCATTGACCGCGGCCCTGCAGTGAAAAAAAAAGGCTTTTACAGCGAGCAGGAAGTCAGCTGGAATAAAATCAGCCCGTTTAGAATTCACCCATGTTCAATATCAACAATCACTCTCCCGTTTACAATCCTTTTCCAATACGGCCTCATAAATACCGACACTGACCCCCCTCCCGCCTCCTTGACACAAAACAATATCGACGGATGACTATCGACCCCGACTGGTCCCAAATCTGAGCAGGAGACAGACTTGTGCTCCTGCCAAAGCAATTAAAACCCCGGTGAGGCCTTGGATGGTTTGTCTTTACAGGGAGGGGGTATCAATACGAGCAGCAGCGAAAGAAAAAGTTCATTAAAGAGAGTGAGACGGGGAGTGAAGGGACGTAATCGCACTCTGACACGCTTCTAAAGAGCCGCTATCTTCGCTTGAGAGCGTGCCAAGCGTGTGCCGCGGGGCACTTGGGTTTAAAGGCGAGTACTGAGGCGCCGTACCGGGTCTTTATATCAAACAGCCAGCAGCGGATGTCTTTGGTCTCCAGAGACACAGGAGCTCACTGCTGATTGGACTCTTTACGGTGCGTACTGTCCCTTTAAGTAGAAGCCTGTGTAAGAACATGCAGAACTATTGTTTGGACGCCACGATCACCTGATGTCCCAGATGAACCCGGAGCGAGCTTTCACTGTGTATTGATCCGAGTTGTCCCTGAGAAGAGGTGCTCATGGGAGCTCGGGGGCTCATTAATCAAACTGACAGTGAGAGTGACACACGGGACTGAGGCGGCACCGGGACGCCACCATGAACACCTTTTCTTCTTCTGTGCCCCCGTCTGACATGATGAGGCTGAAAGTGATGTCAGCACACTCTGCACTTTTCTCTCTCTCTCTCTCTCTCTTTCGCTCCCACCGCTCAGTCTTTCCTCAACCCCATTCATTAGATTTCCTCGTACACTCATCACCCTGATGTCGAGAGTTTCTCCCGGTGATTAAATATTCGGTTTCATCAAAGGACAAAAGGTTTGATTTTGTGCAGCTTCTACGATTGAAAATGTTTTCATAGAAGTGAAATGTACAGAGCAGACACAGAGGAAAACTAGGACTAAAGGTTAACGTTTGTTTGAGTGCTAAAAATTAAGCAAAAATGAGTCCAAAGTGACAAAAATGGTGAAGAAAAAAAAAGGATTATAGACTTTCGGTGGCAGTTTCTGCAGAAAAAGAAACTCCACGCTCTGGAGTCGGATTAATCCGCTGAGCTGTCACAATATCTCCAGCGGTGGAGGAAACTCTCTCTCTCTCTCTGACAGTGTGAAGGCCTGCAGATCTGTCCAAACAGGTAATGTATCACCACGCACTCCTCCTTATTCTTCAGGCCTGTGCAGGAAAGTTGTGCAGAGTTCATTGGTCAGCTGTCGATGGCGCAGCTCCAGGTTCTGGTGTTGACTTTCACTTTGCACACTTACATAAATCTCCACTGAGAGCTCGCTTGTTCATGTTAGCAGTGCAACGGTCGGCTAGGACGAACATCTGAGTGCCACAGATGCTGTTGGCCAATGTTTAAGATCAATGCAGAGAGGCGGAGTCTCTTAGAAGTAGGGCTAGGTGACAAAACGAAAAATTACCGATACTGAAATTTATGCCAATAATGACCAAAAAAACACGACCAAAATCCTTGTAGTATGCATGCCAGGACAGTAGTTGAGGGAGACCTTTTATACCCACTTTTAGGGCTGGGTGATAAACCAAAAATTTACTGATACCGAAATTTACGACAATAATTTTGCCCATATCGGTATATTCGGTGTCACAAAAATAAATAGATAAATAAAAGTTGGTTTTGGATGTGTGTAGGTAGGCTATGGTCTCATGTCCCTTTAAGACACTGTCCTACGTCAGAGACGTGACTCCACCCATCCAGTCCGTAACAAAGAGGGAAAGACAGGTGAGGAGATGGAGGACGGTTCAAAAGTTGTAGTGGCTGAAGTAGACGAAGTTAATGTGGGAGGGGCTGAGCAGCTTGTGGAGTAGTTATCGTCCATTTATCCTTATTGAGGTGAACTGATCAATATATCGTGATATTGATTTGAGGCCATATCGCCCAGCCCTAACTGTGATTGAAAGGTTCAGAAAATCTGGTGAAAACAGGTCCTTGGCATTAATAACAGATATGACTCTGTGGTGGATTTTCACCCCTTTTAAAACCACCATCAGGGTTTAAGTAAGATGGACTGAGCCAGGTGTAGTCAAACAAATTAGAGTTTGACATTTGCCTCGCTGATAAGGAGACCATGAGGAGGATCCAGGACATAGTAGAGGGACTATGTCTCTCAGCTGACCGGGGAGTCCCACTGTAAAGGCTGGACTAAGCACCCGGGACTGGGAAGACTGGTCTTCCTTGCTCAGACTGCTGCCTCCATGACCTAACCCTGGATAAGCGGTAGAAGATGGATGGATGGCGTTCTTTTGGAAACCATGGACACCACATCCATGTTTGAGTTGTCAGAAAAACAGGTGAAACATCACGTTTGGCATCAAATGTAATGGAAGCTGATATTATCCCAAGAGCAATCTTCCTCTTTAGTGTTCACTGTTTTTGATCATATATAAGCCTTCATGATTAAAAACCATCCTGGTGTTTTTGTGATCTGGGTTGAGCGATATCCAATCGTCTCTCAAACCTTTTAAAGCGGCGTCTGACAAAAGCGTCGCCTGTTAAAGACTCTTTTCATGAGAATGGAGAATAGTGACGCTCCTTTTCTCTGAAACTTGCTTTTATCCTCAAACGTGTGAAGAACACAGAAGCTGCAGGTGAAGGAGAGGTTGAGTTTGAGCGGCTGTGGTTTCCAGGAGGAACGTGACAAACAGTCATTTTCTCCCACATAGAAACGGATGTTCGACGGCGGCTGTCGGGTGATGCCACCATGCGCCGCCGTCCCCCTCCATCCTCTCTGTGCTGCACTTGTTTTTTTTTTAACTTGTCATTTTTATCCTCTGTCATTTTTCCCCCTTCCTCTCAGATGCACTTTGTGACAAACCTGCTTGTTAAAAGCACTTTATAAATAGCTTTGACTCGACTCAGCGAGGAAGTCGCCGACATGCTGGAACATCGCCGGCTGTCACCACGGCTACAGAGGGGAGTTTGGAAACCGGCTACGCACTCTCTGTTACTATCTAAAGGCTCGAGAGGCTGCAATAAAAACAATGTCAAGTGCACTACAGAAACCCCTGCAGTATCCAGGGTCAGGAAAATATCTGCAAGGATTTCGGCTCCAAAGAGTTCGGCACTTTTGCTAAACTTTGATGCGGGCTCTCGTGAATAAATGATGAAGGTAAATGGCCTGTCGGTGGCGATCTTTTGAGGACACATTAGCTCAGGGATGGGTAAATAAAGGTTGGATTGGTAAAATAGAAAGATATTAACTGCAAAGGCACGGATGTATACTGAGAAGAAGCCAACAAACTGTTGAACCATACCGAGATAATTAGTGACGGACAAATTCACAAGAAAAGCGTGCAGTTTCACGCTGGGCTAATTATGTTAATCTTGCTGTTATAATTACTTTAAATACCTCGTGGTCTAAAAAAATAAAAACACAAGCATATCCGATCCTCAGTGGAGGAGCTTTTCTTAACATAGCTCCATCCTCAAGTGTTTGCTTTCTTAATCTCTGCCGAGAGAAGTCATTATGACAAACCTCGGTCCTGCCTGTTTATTTTTCTTACCCATGCGTGGCACAATGGCGCCGCTGCAATGCAGAGACACCAGAATCCAAGACTAAAATAGGCTGTTTTGTGCCGGTATTGATGCCTTGTCATGTTTCATTCCCTTTTCCCATCTGTTTACAATATGACAATAAGGAGATTGTGCTCCGCCGTGGTATCCAGCGCATCGTGTTCCTCTGAGTCACAATCCAGGAGAATGAGACAAAAAGAGGGAGCCAAATCTTAGCCTCCAGAAATGTACAGATTTAATGCTGCAGAAGATTTTATTTTTATTCAGGCTGGAAGAGATTCTGACCTGAGACAGAGACGACTGCACATCCTCCGAACAACAAAGAGAGAGACAATGTTCGACAGGAGTTTACTTAGATTATGAGTCTGCAGAGCCGGGGGCCACAGGTTAAGGACCACAACTCTGGGAAAAACATTTCTCGGACTGGGTTTGGAGTAGGACTGGGATATTATATGATCGTGATAAATTTCAGTTTGATCATGGTGATCAGCTGTGAGCATATGTACTCCGTCAAACATGGCGGAAATGTGCGTGACAACTGCCAATCAGAGTCAAGATTTTCCTGCTCACTTCTGGAAGTTGCCAGAGAAGTTAACAGGGGAGGTGAACTAGGGCTGCAACAATTAGTCGACGTTGTTGACATTCTATTGTCGACTATTGTCGCCAGATGTGTTTTTTCCAGTGGAGTGAGGCATCTTATTTCATTACGATCTCTGCCTAGAGTCACACATGTACAATAGCGTCTCCGCCAAGTGGTAGGATATTCAACCATGGCGGCGCTGGCATCCCGTACAGCAGCTACAAGTACGCGCTTAAAAACCTCCAAAGTTTGGGAGCACTTTATCCTACACAGGTAAAAAAAAAATAACTAAATGCAAAAACTTCATAACTATCCGATTAGTCGACTAATCGTTTAAGTAGTCGGTGACTAGTTGACTATTAAAATAGTCGTTAGTTCAGCCCTAAAGTAAACCGAATGATCAAATGTGGGGCCAAACGCGGAGCTGAGGGCAGCAAAACAGATGTCAGCCATGACTTTGAGTCATCCTCCGAAGACGCCATTGTTGAGAAGAAAAGATATTCAAACTAAATTTAGTAAATATGCTTTAAAACTGACAGTTTGAAAAAAAAAAAAATACAAAAAAATCTTGATAATTATCGAGATTAGACGATATGACAAAATATATCCTGATTTTTTTTTTTTTTGCTGAATCGCCCAGACCTAGCAAGAAGCAAAGATTAGTCATGGTAGCCTCGGGGGTCTCAAACTGAAACTGGCTTTGGACCACAGTTGATACTGTCAAGTGGATCACTTCAAAGTTCAAGTACAACAAATAAGCTAAACGTGCTTTATTTTTCTGCCATAATTTATAATGACTCTTGGTGTACCATTTATATCATGAAGAATTTACTCATCAACGATTACTTTGTGTTGACATTTTTACTGGAATATATCAACACTGTGAGCCAGTTAGGTGGAAGTCAATAGTCAGACATGATGTTATCGCTGTTGTTAGTCTAAAAGGGGAACACAAGTGTAGTTTAATGTACAGTAAGTGTTGTTCCTTCAGTTTTCTATGTTCATTGATTTAAACAACTGCTCCACCGTGTTTCTCACCCTGAGGTTGTCTCAGACCACAAAGGCTGTCATTGGTGTTGTTAGGAGACTGTTACAAAGCTGAAATCAGCAACTTTTTCAGAGACAAGCCTTTAGTTATTATCTTTTTTTTTTTTATCCCTGCAAAGAATCACCAAGAAATTACTCCTGCCTGTTCAGGCATGGAAACAGTTTATTCCTCTGGGCCACAAAGCCCCTTAGTTTAAAAACTTTTAGACACACTGCAGCACAGGCTGACATATTCCCCTACTATAATTATGATCATCCACTCTGAAATATATTTATATGTTTTATAAAAGTTGGAACTGGGACAACAAAACACTGAAAAAGTTCTGTGATGAGATTTAACCCCCCTCTGTGAGAGACTGCGAAAGCATGATTTGTGAAAATCTGGGCAAAAACAGAGAGGATGAGGCCTCACACTGGATTGATGTGATCTCCAAACCCTCAAGCAAACAAGACTCTGTAGTGGAAGTCACCACATAGGCTCAAAATCACGTCCAAAAACCTTTGTGTGTGAGGACGTGAAATGCTGATGCCCTTTCTTTTGGAAATCATGGACACTGAGTCCTCCTCTGGAGAAAAGGAAGGGACCATCTGACTTGTTTTTGTAAAACCAGAATCAGGGCTGGTATAGGGATGCTTAAAGGGATATTCCGACGTAAAATTAATTTAGGGTCAAACACACTGTAACACAGAGTTAGACACCCCCTCAAGTGATGAATGTTGCTGACTGCTTGCTTCTCTAGTTATACCATTACAGACTGCGCCGGAGTCTCGCAGCTCAAGGAAGAACATTTATGATCATTTCTTCATGGTAATACAATCAGACTGAGACGCAAAGGCAGAAGAACTACCGCGTCTGCAGAGCAAAATGATTAATATGGTGATTATTACTTCAAGGAAATGATAAAGAAATGACCATAAATGTTCTTCCTTGAGCTGCATCACCCCGCTGTAGTCCTTAATGGACTGGCCTGAGGTCTCTGTACAAACAAGTGGCTGCTGGAGGAGAGTAGGTGAGTTGTGTTAAGTCTTTTTGTTAAAGAAATTAGTCAAAGTTGAAAAAATGTTTGGTGTCTAGTACTGTGGCTGTGACCCTATATGTCCTGTTGATGAAGTTAGGTGCTGTTCTGAGCATTATTTATGGCTATAGAGTGGCGTTTTGGTTGAGGTTTGTTTATGGCTCCTCAGACCGCTGTGTATTGCTATCCTGCGGTCGTTACTAAAGTTGGTATAACTAGAGATGCAAGCGGTCCACAATATCCCTTTAAGCGCCCATTACACAGGTAGCTGACACATCTAGGTAGGCCACATTAATGTCTGTAAAATCTAAGTGCACACCCCTGGCTGGTCTTTAGAGTCTGGATATTAATGTGCATAATCACCAATTGGCTGTAGATTCAGAGAGCATCAAAACAAAACAAACAAAAAGAGCAAATCCCTGCGTAATACTCCTTTAAACCAGCGGAGGATCCTGGCGTTACTCCAGACCGGTAATGAGGTTATTTGTCTTAGTTTTCCACCAGTTTTTTTCACATTCATAGAGACAATGTCAGACTGCCAGATCTTTAAAAATATTACATTATTTTGAACAAACAATCAAACCCCCCAGTGTTTACTTTACATTAAGTCTTTAACAGGGTAATTCAAATGTGCCTCTTTGTTTCTTTGGCAGTGAAACATCGAGTTTCTTCAGCAGCTGCCAACAAATACTATGGAGGTTAAAGGGATGGTGTTAATTATTTACAATTTGGGCTGAAACACCGAGTCACGGTGATGAAAATATCAGCCTGCTGCATTCTTGTGATCAGGAATCGGAAGAAAAATGAGACTTTGCCAAACTCTTATTTACTCATTGTGCTTAATTGTCGTCATAAATATCGATTAAAAAGACGTTCAGATCAGGCGTGGAGGTCTAAGAACTCCTCGACCTTTCAGTAATGTCTCTCTGATCTTTCCTCTGTCACTCTGATTCACGGTTAAAGACAAGAGCCTCCATGTGAAGAGAGTTTCGAGGAGACAGCACTTTATTTTTTAGAAGTTGCAGCAAAAAAGTTCCTCCTAAAAGAAACTCCTAAGGAAGTCTTTCCCATGGGCTCACCCCCACCTCCAATAAAAAAGGAAACCATGGGGGTTTCTCACAGCAAGCTTGCAGAGTTCTGATGAATAATGCAAATTTTTAAAGCCTGTGCGTCACCCCGGCAACGAACTTCCCAGAATACTAAACATCCTGACAGTCAGATATTAGATCCCTGCGTACCTAATGTGAACTCTTATCTAAAGCATGAAGTGGCTGTTTGTGAGAATTTCACATCACCCTTAGCATTGTGAAAAAAAAAACCGCCACTCTCAGGGGCCCCTGATGCCAACTTGCCAAGGCGCCCGGGGTCCCTGATGCCTTCCATAACGTTCCAGGACAAACCCTTATCAGTCCAGCACAAACAGTTCTGCTGGGTAAACATGTTTACAAAGTTATGATCTCCGGTGGAAAACGCTCTCCTGGTTCCACTTCACTGGTAAACATGTTTTCTCACCTAAAAACACTCCACGCTCAAACAAGTCCGCTTCATTTTCTCTGATTGAACACTTATTCGCCACGGACCCGGTGTCGCCTGCTTCTCGCCCGGCAGCACAGCCACAGCGATCCATCAACAGATGTCAGATAGAGTCGGCGTCATAGTTACGGTGAGGGAGAAAAAAAAAAGCACGCCGCTCTCTTTTAAACTGGGAGTGCCACACTTGACCTTGTCTGTTCCAATCACGGCCGCCCTGCAGTCTCCATCACGCAGCTTGCCTGTTGTCGTCGGCGTGATAAGACCGGGATGTGCACGGAGGAAACCTGCAGCCATGCTGCGGGGAGGAGAGGGAGTATAGGATATATACAGTCACGCACGCAAGGACGGCATTCACATCTGATGTCAGCCGCTGCTTTGAGGGTCAGTGCCTCTGCATCCCTCTCTCCAAAGTGAAACATGCACCGGGATAATAATCATGTGCTTAAATAGATGATCGGTAAAGAGTGTGCACGCAACTACCAATGCATTTATTGAAAATCTGCAGTACAACAAACCCATATCAACGTAGGACCCGACTTTGAAATATCTGCAAATATCTACTTTAATTTTTCACAGAACTACGGTTCAGTTTCGTGTCTTCATCTGTTTTAACTGGTGGATTATTTCGTTCTCTGTCTCTTTCCTCCATCGCTCTCGACACTGAAAGTTAAAGCTCCCCTGATGACATTGTTTCAGCTGATTTCATGTGGATGTATGACTCAAACCTTGGCTTTGGCTTTAAATGAAACTACAGATTATACAAGAACCTGTAAGAAGGACAAAATACAGCAGACGCAATATTGGATTCTAGCTAATATGGAAACCATATCATCTACAGAGGGTATATTATCATCGCCACAGGCTCAACAGGTTTGACTTTAGTCCTCAGCCCTTTGGTGCGTATCATCCCTCACTCTCTACTTCGACATGACCTTTTTCTGTTCCCAAAAACCTTCAAAATTCAGCCTGTTTGGACGACATGAACTGATTACAAACAGAAAAAGTCTTTGCTCTGCACATGGATCTGCAAAAAATGACTAAAAACACTTGAGTACTGTACATGCAAGGCCAGGAGTTGGCGGTAAACCTTCGTGATGAGATGCAGCATGCAGTAAAGACAGATAGACAAGACGGTGATGGTGAATAAACGTTTAAAAACTGATACGTAAAGACTAACAAACAAAGCTCAGAGTCCAGGATTGTCGTCATCACTGACGTCACCGTTCGCAGCACCTTGCCAGTTTCCACAGTGGCAGAAGGGATCGCATCTTCAAAAGATCCCACTCTGGGACCCAGTTTCAAAAGTTCCCCCTTTTTTTAGTGGTTTTCATGTAAAGGAGCGGCCAAATCCACAAACTGTTTCCTGTTTTCTATAAGTTTTTCCAAAAGTAACAGACCTGAGGCTGAGAGACTGAAACCGTGTTTAAAAACAGACTGTGCATGTTTGTTTCTGTCGTTAAAAAGTCATTATTGGCGCTGATGGGGTTTTCTTGGCATTTGGAGAAAGCCTCAAGTGGACACTTGTGGAACTGCACTTCATTTTTCGAAAACTAGAGGTTTCAGCTGACCAAAAAAAGTGAAAACTGCCTCCAAATGGCTTCATGAATGAATAATAAATAATGACAATTAATCCATAAATAAACAAAGGAAATAATTCTGGTTCTGCAGGTTCTGTATTAACTATCACATGCTATCATATCATTTACATCCGTTTTCTGGTTCTTCCTAATATGACTTTACTTTCTGAAGTGCGTGTGTCACCTTCCTTTAATTTCACAGTCTGAATGACCGCAGTCCTGTCTGATAGGCGGTGTAAGTGTTCGAGAAACAATGATGGAGAACTGGAAGAAATCCGTCACTCTGTCCGTCTCACTATCACGGCTGAAATCAGGAGGTGCAGAAGGCTAGAGGAAATGGCGGTAATGACGGACAGAGCCTGGAGCGTGGAGCACTCTGCACAATGTCCGGGTTAATGGTCTTTTTATGGTTTAAGGGGCTCTGTTCCCATGGGGACATTTTATCAGAGAACCTGCAATTTTCACCAACACCTCTGAGCGATCTGATTAAGAGCGCGCACACACACACACACACACACACACACACACACACACACACACACACACACACACACACACACACACACACCAGGGCATGTAATACAGGAGACAGACTCTCCACGAATCAAACTCACAATGGTGGGTTTATTAATTTCAGAGGGTTCAGTTACAAACTGCTCAGGAGGAGGTTTTAAAACTTCAGATTATGATAACTAAACCGTTTCTATCAGTGATGAATTTACTGATCAGTTCAATCAAGGTCCAGACAAAGACTTAATTTGGACTCACACAGGAAATAAGGACTCAACTTGGAGAAAGAGGACTGGGACTTGACCTGAATTCATCTCTGGTGACTCAGACTGGACTTAGACGTGAGCATTGAGGACTCAAGATTTGGTGACTTGACTACAATGTTGTTCCAACCACAGGATTTTCATTTGGTTGAATAAATCATCAATTATTTTTGTTATAAAAGGCTTGAAATGCTGATCATCTGTTGTGTCTAACCATTTTTTCTACCTGGATGTAAACAGACACAAAGTCATGATTTATCTGCATCACCAGCTCCATGACAGAAACTTCTGCAGAGAAGAGGAAGCCTCGGAAAAACAAATGTTATTTTACAGTTGTGTGTCACATTTGCTCATTATACCGTGTTGTAAAACTTGCTTTTAGTATTCATGACGATATCATCTTTTCATCAATTTGAAAAGGCGGCCAATCATGCTTGTTGCTCAGAGACAAAGTCACTCAAACTACGAATGGATGGAAACATCACATGGTAAAAGATGTCTTTGGGGTTTGCAAATAAAAAACTGAAAAATAAAGTGTGGCAGACGGAGACAGTCCTCTTGCACCACAGGTTTACAAAACTTATCAAATTATCGTACACTTAGCCTATTTTCTGGGTTATTGATCGTACATCATACAAAGAGCAAAATTATCATACAAATACGATAATTATCACACGCCTGGCAACCCTGCTCTTAACATCTATCTTACGGATGCGAGTTGCTTGGCGTCACCAGACCAAATCACCTTTGTTGACAGGTAAGGGCTGGGCAATAAACCCAAAATTTACAGATAAAACCGATAATAGGTGATGATTGGTCAGGTTTATTTGAGAACAGCAGCAGATCTAGATCCACATATGAAAAGAAGCTGGTTCTGGCAACGAGCCCACTACTACAGGTTCAGGAAGTTGAGATTTTTTGGCAGGATGAGACGAAACACCTTGAAAAAAGCACGCATGATGGAGATACCAAAACTTGGCTGACGTCTTTGTACCTCACCTAAAAAATCCAGATCAAATCAGGACCCTGAAAACTCTCTTTCTACTGTTCCCGCAGCCTCAGCCCAGCAAGTATCGACTGTTATTTCCAAACTGAAGCATTAGTTACACCGTTTTCTCTCTCCGCACTGACAGAAAAACATTAACTAAATAAAAGAGCTCCTTCGGCCCCAAAGGGTGACCAGAGAAAATGAATTAAAGGTCATCACTGGAACTCATTAAATCTCACCCTGATCAGACTCTTTCAAACACAAACACAATCCTCCCATTCCTGCCGACCGTTAAAAAACTGCAATTCAATTAAAAGTCTGCAGTTCACTGGACAAACGCTCGTAATTAATAAGGCCTGAGCGAATACAAAGGCAACGTTTAATAGCCTCACTCATAATTAACTGCAGGAAAGATCAAATGCCTCTCTGACACCTTCTTTATCTCAGAGGCCCAGCAGGGAGATGATATAATCGATAGTGCTTCTTGTCTCGCGCTCCCAAAAGTATCAAAAGATCATTTTAATCCTGTTTAAGCTCGAGTCTGTGCAAATATTTTCTAACCTTTATTCATTCTGGGACAGTTTGCTTGGCAGACATACTATTTTCCATTAACAGCCTACTCTATATTCATACAGTTACCACCCATAAATTCATAACAGGGAGCTGCAAGAGGCTTTTACTCTCAGCCTCCGAGCGCTGCAGGCTCTCAGGCACAAAAATATAAATTTCTGAAGGAAAGGAAAGCGTTAATTATTCATCCCGGCTGGATTTTTGCATCTGTTAAAATACTTCCTGCCATTAACTTCTTGTATTTTCAAACATTAAACACGGCTCTGTGTTCCCGGGGAGTCCTGGTTTCTTGTTTCGGTGATATAACACTAAAATCTGGAGATCTGTCATGAGTGCGTTCGGGGGTTTATCGCTCCTTCCTTCAGATTTCAGGGTGGAGATGAGCGAGTGTATGTCGGAGTCAAAGTGTAACCATATCTAAAATCAGACTACACGAGGATGAATGAAAGCGACGGCTCAATCTGCGGCGAGCTACGACACCGTCGGCCTCATCAGAGGCGTTCGCCGCGTGTTGTCAAGACTTAAGATAAAAGAAAGGTGTGACTCAAGCGCACGTTTGACTCGGGAAAGACAGAAATCACAGATAAACTAACGTCTCTGGACATTTTCGTAGGATTTATGTCCGAACGTCAAACGTATCGCCCTCATCTACATGCAGATAGAGGTTTAAACGTGCGTTTGACAAATAATTTCTGCGGCTCGATGTGATTTATAGTAATTCACGTCTGGCTGCTTCATCTTCCACGCTGCAGCGATATTATTCAGCGCCACGTGTATCTAAAGAGCAGAGGGCCATAAAACACAATTACGACGGATTTTTAACGCTCTGAGTGGACCGAGTGACTTCTGATTCAGGTAGATCTCCCAGAACCACGACACAAAGAGTCCGAGGGGACGGTCACTCCATCACAGGGACAAAAAGCTGCTGTGTGTCCATTTTTCCTGCAGTCCGGAGAGCTCATCCCTCTCAGACAGAAGAGGAGAACATCTCTGTCCAGATCGGAGGAACTCAATTGTTTATCCCGAACTCTTTGTCTGAAGTTCCTCCTCTTCACTCTCCCTCTGAGCTGCACGGAGGAAAATCGAGCTTCGGCTCCGCGGCCTCTCAGCTTCTTTCGATGGGCAGACACATTTTTCAATTATGCACACGAGGGAAGGGAATTAGAGGTCTAATCCCGGCCTAATCCCCAAACAAACAGATCTATGGCCTCCATTTCCAGCGAAGCCACCGCAGCGCTCCCTGTCTACCTCCACCTCAGCCTCCTCCAGATAAATCTCTGCCCCGCGACTAACCCGGTCAGGGATGGAAGTCCTCCCGGCTCTGATAGTTCCTTAAATTGAGCTTTGCGAGCATTATCCCTGTTTGAATGGCGCTTAGACTCAGTTCAAACCATCACTTGCGGTGTGAGCTCAGTTTTTCCATGTCATTAGAAAAG